CGACGACGACGGCGAGGTGACGGCGACGACGGCGGCGACGGGGACGGGGGCGGCGACGGAGACGAGGGCGGCGACGAGGACGGGGGCGGGCCCGGGGCGGCGGCGTAGATGACAGCGGTGACGGGAACGGGGGCGGCGACGGGGACGGGGGCGGCGACGGAGACGATCGAGGGCGGCGGCGACGGCGACGGAGACGGAAACAGAGGAACAAACAAAGAGGGAAAACAAAATTTTTGGACGTGTTGTATATATAGACCCCCCCCCCTTTAGTACTGGTTGGAGCCACCAACCGGTACTAAAGGCCTGTTTTGGCCAGGCCAAGCGGCGGGAGGCGACCCCCTTTAGTACCGGGTGGTGGCACAAGCCGGTACTAAAGGCCCCCCCCCCTTTAGTGCCGTTTTGTTCCACGACCCGGTACTAAAGGCCTCGCGCTGCCACCCCAAAGTTTAGTCCCACCTCGCCAGGCGAAGGGCAGCCACACTGGTTTATAAACTCCACCCGCGGCTACCACTTCGAACTCCTCTACATAGCAGGCTGGTGGGCCTAAACTCTGCGCGCTGCCCTGTGAGTCTGCTGGGCCTTTAAGGCCTGTAGTTACACACATGTGGCCTATCAGGCCCACAGGGCAGCGCCCCAATTTTTTTTATAGTTTTTTTCTTTTCTGCTTTATTTTCTTCTATTTATTTTTGCGTAGTTTTTTGTATAGTTTTTTCTTTTTTGTTATATTTATTTTCTTCTATTTATTTGTGAGTAGTTTTTCATTTAGTTTGCCAAAATTCAACATTTTCAGAGTTCATTTTGTAGCGATTTTCAATTTCACGGTCATTTTGTAAATGATTGAAAAATAGCAAATATTTTTTTTCTTTTCTGCTTTATTTTTTCTTCTATTTATTTCTGAGTAGTTTTTTTCTTTTCTGCTATATTTATTTTCTTCTATTTATTTTTGAGTAGTTTTTTAATATAGTTTTTTTCTTTTCAACTATAGTTTTTCTTCTTTTCTGCTATTTTTTCTTTTCTGCAAAACTTGATGGTCAAAGTCTGGAGTTATAACTTAAAAAAAAGAAATGTCGACGTGCAATTAGTTTTTGCCATAACAGAAGAAGTCCGGAGTTGTAATAAGTTATTAAAAATAAAAAAGAGGTGCAATGCTCGTTAATTTGCTTCAAGCCTTTCGGAATAGTGTAAACTGCACTGCGCATAGCTCCATGCAGTCTACCGTATTCCTGAAGGCTTGAAGCTAAGCAACGTGAGCATTGAGCCTCTTCTTCATCGTCTCTGCACTCAGAGCTTATAAACCGCTCCTAGTCCCTCTCACTTCGCGAGGTGGGACTAAAAAACAGCTTACTAAGAAACTGTAGTACTGGTTCATCCATGAACCGGTACTAAAGGTGCTCGTGGGGCCCAGCCTTACCTGACACAACCTCATTAGTACCAGTTCGTGGCATGAACCGGTGCTAAAGGTTCGCCACGAACCGGTACTAAACAGCTTCTCCCGCCTAGCAGTTGGTGCATACTGAACGCAAAAAATATAAGAGCATTTAGATCATGATCTTATATTTTTTTACAGCCTAAATTGTCAATATAATCTTATAACATCAAAAATACTTTGATCATCAATGATCTTTGTGTGTACAATCTGAAATGTCAATATGAGTCATCAACGATTTATAAACCGATGAAGACTCATATTGCGGCCACAAATTCTACACATAGAGTTCAATGAAGACCAAGTGCTTGTGATAGTTTGAGAAATAACATATTTAAGGTGGTAAAAGGCTTGTTAGGGGAGCGAGGTGGGACTAAAAACAGCTTGCCATAACCTCATTAGTACCGGTTCGTGGTACGAACCGGCACTAAATGGTGATGGTGGGGCCATAGCCTGACCGCAGGCTGACACAGCCTCTTTAGTACCGGTTTGTGGCATGAACCGGTACTAAAGGTTAGCCACGAACCGGTGCTATTGATCGCCGCCACGAACCGGCACTAATGTACACATTAGTGCCGGCTGAAATTCAAACCGGCACTATTGTGCTTCACATTTGACCCTTTTTCTACTAGTGTAATGCAGCAAACATTTACTAGCCACATGAATGGAATGGAATTAAATTGAAACGAGAATGTGGCTAATCTTAGTTTTTCTAGAAAAACATTATCCCATTCCGTTTTCGATGTATTTTGTATAGTGGCCTTAGAATACAATGGTTTCTAGAAACATCATAGTCTATCTTGGGTTTTTTGGATACAAGAAATACGTTGGTTTTGTAAACCCTGAAAGCAGCACACATTGTCTCTATATATACATCCATTCATAACCACTTCAATGTTTTCACTGGGTTTTCCTTCTATTTTTTTCCCTTTTAGCTATTTATTATCTCCTTTTCCGCTTTTACCTTTTCGCTTTTTATTTTTATTATAAATACATGGTTTTGAAAATACACGAAAAAATTATACATTAACATGAATATTTCATTAAATTGTTTGCATGTTTTTCTGAATTATATGAATGTTGTTTTAAAATACGTAACCACTTTTCTTGTTTTCTCAGCTACATAAAACTTAAAATAATGTGTGAGACTGTTTCAAGCATAGTATAATTTTGGAAAAGATGATTAGCACTTTTGAAAATACACCAACATTTTAAAATTGTAAGTAAATATTTTAAAATGACATGAACATTTGAAAAACAATACGCAAACAACTCTGTAAATTACAAGAACATTTTTTTAAATATGTGAAAATTATTTTGAACTGCATGATCATTTTCAAAAAAAAGTTAACTATTTTTTTAGTACATGAACATTTTGAAATAGAAGTATCCATGAATATTTTTTATGTAAATTATCATTACATTAATATAATTTTATTATCAATAAATTAATAGTGTGTGAATTAATACCATAAAGATGTCTTTCAGATTGTATGAAAAAGAAAAATTGTACCTGTTTTTTTTATGGTGTGAGCGCATTGATTTTTTTTAACATAGTACAGACGCAACAATCATATACACGTGCATACACTCATCCCTATGGACACATAGACGCCCACCCTACCCCTATGAGCACGTTCGAGAGACTGATCCGACATATCATCTTGAGATTTTACGAAGTCACCATAGTCGACGAAAACGTCTCCTCCAACTGAACACCAAATTCATGAAATAAATTCAGGATAAATGCGAACACCGGGACTTGAACCCTGGTGCGAGCGCATTGACTGGTCAGATTAGCTCCACTGGCTTGGGCTTGCGCACCAAAATGTCCTGTGACTTGGCAGTTTTTCGGCCCATGTGGTCAAGCCTACATATACATACAGTAAAAGAAATCCCCTTGCCTAAAAAAAAAGTAAAAGAAATCCCCAAATCAATCCCGCGAAAAACCTAGCTCTAACCGCCTGGGTTCGTCGACCACCGAACCAAACCGCCGCCTCTGCCTCGAACGTCGCCGTCCCAGCCGACGTCGTCACCGTTCCAGCCACCGGTGCCGACCGCCGTCCGTTCCCCGTACGTTTCATCAAGGTGCACGGCGGCATCTCTATTTTTTCGATTCTATATAGTAGGTACGTGATTCCTTGTGCCCCCTTCAATTCCTCCACTACTATATAATATAGTATACAATACAATAGCTTTTGGGTTTATTATCTGGTTGGTTCGCCGCCGGTAGATCATCATGCTTCAGTTTGATCTAATTTCTTCTTTTTCCTTATCACCCTCCCAGGAGATCAAGAAGGATCATACAAACTAGATCGTCGGAGAGTCAGCGATTATGAGCGGCGGCATGCGCCGGTTCCTGAACCTGGGGCTGTACGACGGGTACAAACGCCTGTATTTGCTGCGGCGCGTGGACCTCTCCAAGACGGACTTTTTTCACCGGACGGCAGAAGAGGCGGCTGAACATGGCAAGGTGCTGCCAACACTGACGCCTGCCAAGGCCCGTGCCACCAACAGGCGAAGGATCTGCAACACCCAAGATCTGGCGACGGCGGAGGCGGCGGCGCCCAAGATCGGTCCGCCAAAACCCGAGCTGCTCATGGGGCCACCGCAAATCTCCCCCTGCCTCGGCTCCCATCACTTGGTCCATTTCTTCCCCACCGCCTCGGAGAGCAAGGTGGTCTTGGGCGACCGCGGGAACCGCATGCTACGCTTCAACATCCTCGATGGCTCCCGCTACATCGACACCCTGCCATGCCTCCACGGGGTCAAGGAGATGCCGATGGTCGTCTCCGTCCCTTCGACGGACTTACACCTCCGTGACGGGGATGACACGGGCGACCTCTACATCATCGATGGCCTCCTCCATCCGGACAAGGCGGAGGTGCGGCCGCAGTTCGAGGCCCTGGTGTGGAGGGGGTCCAGACCGTCGACCTTATCTAGCAGGTTCTGGCACTGCGACATCCTCCCTCTGCCGCCGTGGATCAGCCACCACGAGCACGCCATGGTCTTCGGCCACGCCCTCGTCGGCGACAGCATCTGCTTCTCCATCTGTGGCGCCGAGGGTACCGGCACCTACTGCTTCCACATCGCGACTCGCGAGTGGAGCAAAGCTGGGGACTGGCTCATGCCCTTCGATGGCAAGGCGGATTACGCCCCTGAGCTTGGACTGTGGTTTGGCGTCTCAAACAACCTCCCCTGCGCTGCCGACCTCTCGGGCGTCGTTAGAGGGGAGGAGCTGTCGCCGGACAAGATGCGGATCTGGGCGCGTGATGACCTGCCGGAGGAGTGGCAGCCAAAGAGCTTGCACAATCCCTGTATCGTCAGCCTCGGTTCCGGTAGGTTCATCGTCGTCGACTTCTTGAATGCCATGAAATTCAACAAGGAATGGAACGAGATGGAATCCGTCAAGGAATTTGCCCTCTTCGCCGGTATGGAGGTAGCGTACAGCAACGGCAAAGGCAAAGGGACGATGCATGGACTCCGTATGATGAAGCACAAATCCCGCCGTTACATGTTTAACAATCAACAGAGGATCGAGGCGGTGCTCTGAATGGCATTCACTCTGGGACTTAATTTGCTATCGTCGTGGCTGCTCTCTATTTCTGCTCCCTGTTTACAGCTAGTACTGACTAACTATATATATATATATATCGTATGAAACGTACTGTAAATTGTACAGTACCTCCCTGGTGTTATTCTAGAGAATTCCAGCTAGTATTCAGAGTTGCTGCTGAAGAAATATTTGTTTGATGGAAATTTTAACCATTGTGCTATCGTAAGCTTAGCTGAAGAATCCGATCCAGGTAGAAAGGAATTGTAGCAACTAGATAACGCTCCGCAAGTTGTTGCGGAAATTATAGCAATGAACTTACCAAAAATTAATTTAGCTATATCAAAATGGTATCGCACGGGAGTAGATTGAGAACTCAGATTTGATATCCTCAAATTTTAGTTTTTTTGAATTTTGTTGGTAATTTTCAAGTTTAGTATTCGTATAGGGGTGTAGAGCACCCAGGAGCTCATATGTATTTTCCTCCAACAGAGCAAAAACTTTGGAAGAACACACATGCATGTATAAGCCCGACTGCTGGTCAGTCTATGAGATAGGGTGATCTCCAGTTAGCCTTCCCGCGTGCTTCACCTCCGCTGCCCGTCGCCGAGCCAAGCTCAGACCTATGTCTTGTGTGCGTTTAAATATGTTTCCGGTCAAAAACAGATAATTAATTACAAATCATTTACGGATGCGGCACGAATCTAAGACGTCAAATCAAAGTTTGTTGCCGACTCAGGCATGGATCCAGCCCATATCTCCCTACCACGACCATCTCATACGCAAACCTGGGCGGATTCCCAGGCATGCCTCGCTGAACGGCCTAAATTTGGGCACCTCGCCGGAGGAGCCGGCAGCATGCGCCCGTTCTTCTTTCTTTTGTTTTGGCAAAAGCTACCGATGGAAGAAGAGGGAGCGCAATGCACACCAGCCTTGAGACCGTGATTAACAGATTGGAGAGTGTTTTTCTTTTTGGAGTCAAAATCAAACGTACGCCGAAACCAAAAGACCCAAACCTGGGCTTGACAAGTACAACGGGCTCAAAGGCATGTATTCGCTCCGACGTTTGGACCTCTCCAAGATGGACTTGTTTCACCAGACGGCAATTGCACTCCACCATATCTTGAGGGCCTTCACACCAGGGGCCAATAGCTCCTGTGCAACGTTTTTCATGCGAATTGGAAGGAGTGCGATGTTGTTGGAATGAATGGCTGTGATGCGATGTCTTCGAAGCCAACAATAGCTCCAATGCGACATGGCTCTGTTTAACCGTGAAATGAAAAATACGAGGGGTTAGCGATTTGAGTTATGACACGCGGGACCCACCAGTTACTCGCATGCGGGTGGGACCCACAACTTATCCACACAAGCATGCCCATGCTCATCAGCGTGCCTCGACCCGAGCCAGCCACGAGCCCGAGCCAGCTCGCCCCCTCCATTGCTTGCCCTGCCCCTTTCCTTTCCCACCTTCTTCTTCCTCTGCTCCGGCAACGAAGCGCGCCGCCGGCGAGTGATGTCTAGCTCGACTTCGGCCACCCGCCAATCATGGACGCAGTATGGTCCACTGCCATTGACAAGATGCCCCGATTGCCCGTGCATGGAGCCTCTCAAGCGTTTGACTTGTGTGAGGGAAGAAAGTGGCAACCGTGGGCGCGAGTTTGTGAAATGTTTGAGCAAGCCACAGCCGGGGCAGGTTAGATCTGTGTTCTTTACCAATCCTATGGTCTATTTTCTCCCAATTTCTTTCTTTTTCCCTCGAATTAGGGCAGTGGATCTGGGTGGTGGATCTAGGATTCATGCGCCGCCGCCCCCTTGTTTTTCAGGTTCTGAAGAAATGTGGGCATTTTGAGTGGCTCGATGACTATGTTGAAAGGTTGAAATTGGAGGGATCAACCCCAAACCAAGAGCTCAATTTTGGGGGGCGGCTTGCCGTGGAACAAGCCCCCAATTTGGCGGACAGAGCCGATCCGATGATGCACAGTGCAGAACTGATGTGTGAATTGAAGAAAATCGGCAAGCAACTAAAGCATCTGATCTATTTGAAGCAGCAAGCAAATATGATGGCTGGAGCATTTAATGGTTGTGTCATTGCTATGGGTTTAGTTTACTTGATGTTCAGCAATTGCTAGAATTTGTTAGAGTTTCAGTTAGTTAGTCAGTTAGTTTCAGGGGTGCCCAGTAGTTTGAGTTAGCCAGGGATCATTTGTTAGATGAATTTGAATTCGTGTGATGCAAAACTTGCTTGAATTATTGTAATGATATTCAGGGGCCCTATTCAGTGTTCATGCTCTGTTTCCTCTGTTTTTGTTCTTCAGTTAACACAGTATACACCCAAATTCAGCTTCTAGTAAAAAACAATACTGGGCCGCCGAATAGATGTTGGGCCATGAGAAAATGGGCCCTGAGAAAATAACCATGCCCAAAATAGAGACCAGCCCACCCGCGTAGGGGCACCAGCCCACCCGCGTAGCGGCACCAGCCCACCTCTAACTTCGGCAAATAAAATGTTACTTGTTTTTACTTTGGCCTTTTTCTTGCACTAAATTTTGTGATGGATCATTTTTTGATGCACTAAAACTAATTGTTACTTGTTTTTATGCATGTCTACGGTTCCATGGACTAAATGGGTTGCATGCTTGCATGAAGTAAATTAGTTTGCATTTCCTAGTTGCATGTCCATAGTGGGTTTGCATGGGGCTCCTAGTTGCATGTCTATGGTTTGAGTCATGACCCATTATTTGGCCAATATTTTGAAGATGGTGTGTGTGGTGATTGGAGTGTAGCAACCCGGGCCCGTAGCAACCCATAGCAATACACAAATAATGGAACAACCCATAGCAATCTACAAATAATAGCACGAAACACACAATATATATAGTAGCATAATGATTATATAGAAGCATAACGATTGCAACCCATAGTTCCACGATAGCCTTACAACTTCACGATAGCCTTACAACTTAAAATACTAATACAACTTAATAATAGTAGCATAAAGATTACAACTTAAAAACTAATACGATACGATACGATAGATCGGGGGGCACCAAACGCGGGTTCTTCTTCAGGTTCTTCTCTCCTCCTCCTCTGGGTGAACGCTGGGCCACCTCGCTCCTCCGGGCGCCCTTCACTCGTCGTTGTTGATTGGGTACGGGAGCGTGTGCATAACGCCGTTGTTGGGGAAGATGGAGTTGAAGTCGGTGAAAATGTTATGGGTGGTGAAAGCTATGAACTCACAACCAACCCAATACACTCGCCCGAGAAGGTAGAAAGCGTCGAATGGGTTAGTGAACGTAGCGAGGATCCCAACCACAACGCCGCGGCCGGGTTCTCTGCGTGTGCCGCCCGTGCATTCATGTCGTAGCCCATCTTGCTAGGGCCTGGCTAGAGGGCAACGTTCGGTCGATGGGAGACGTGATAATAATGGACGCGGACGCCTTCATTTGCCCATCTTGTAACGGGCAGCACGCCATTTGAACTGCATCGATACCCACATCGATACCCCATGCCAGTATTGCATCCTCAAAGAGGAGCACGCCATGCACGGCATGCCATGCAGCGTTGGCTTTTTGGCCGGGTGCTTGCTTTGATGCGACGCTGCATCGGTTGTAATGGTAGGCATGCGACAACTTACTGCTTCGTTGGAGGTGGCGGAGCAGGGCTACGTCGAGGGCGGGCATGCATGCAATGCATGGGCGCAGTTCTGCGGGTGGGCATGCATGCTGCGGGCGGGCAGGCGGGGCAGGCACGGGCACACATGCAACAATGGAAAGGGCACTGCGTAGGCTTGGTCCATGCACCGCGTCAACTCTTGCCGTTGGATTCAAATGAACGGTCCTGATGCCCCAACGAGAGAGGCTGATCCAAACCCCACCGATCCAACCAATCAGCGCGTCTCATGCAGATCGATGCACACTGTAGCTAACCCTAGCGCCTGATCTCAACCGTCCACACACAACGATCGACAACCCGGAAGTGTGCGGGGTTTTGAGGGGTTTTGAGGGGTTTTGACTGATTAGGGTTGAGCATAACTAATTCAAAAAAAATCAAAAAAATATGAAACTTGCGCACATAGTCTTATTATATCGTATAGTAACGAGAAAAAAAATATAAATATGGTTTACATACATTTTTACGAAAAACCCTTCACAAAATTGCCATTCCTCGGACAATGTAGTATGGAGTTCAAGGGAGAGAGTAGTGCGCAACCGAGAGTAGGTGGGGGTTTTTTAAATGAAAAGTGTGAAAACCTCACCAAAACTTCATTTTGGATTGACTAAGAAAGATCTTAACTTACTTTTCTCATTTTCATGTTTTAAACTTGTTATATATATAATTTTCTATTAAACCTTGTTTTTTCAAAAAGAAAAGAAAATAATAGAAATTTAATTCAATAAATAGTGAGACTTTATATTTACACTATATAGGTAGAATAGATGTGTAGAAAAATTATTTGGCTGGTTTAGAGGTGCCAAAAAAACTTGCTTAAATATGAGGCCGTTTACCCTACCTTTGGAGGTCATTTGAGACACACTTTTCATGACTATGAGTTCAACTTACCAAAAGGGCTCGGAATGATCAGCAAGCAACATATTTCAGTTGAGGTACTTTAGATAGCATTAAAACATCAATACTCCATCCCTAATTCAAATTTGAGCCCAAATTTGAATTTAAATTTGAATTTTATTTGGCTGTTTTTGACAAGGTACCAAATATTATTACATGCCCCAAATTTTCAAACTGTTCTCTGTTCTACCAGTACGAATAGAATAGTGACTACCAGTACGCACCAAGTTACAAATATTATTACATGCCCCAAATTTTCAAACTGTTCTCTGTTCTACCTCTTCCTACCACGCCGTGTGCCCTTCTTCGCCTTAGCACTTCTTGTTTTTGGTTCTACTACACACACAAGTTCACTGATCATCTTGGTTTTCTTCACTGGTCTTTTCAACACCTCGCCAACACCCTCGTGATCAGTGTCTTCAGTCTCAATGTTG